CCCCCGGCGCCCGGCCCGCCCCGCCCGGCTGGCCCCCCGCGCCCGCCCCGGAATACGGAGCCCCCTACGCGGGGAGGGTCCCGCGGGGCTTTTCGGGGCGGGCGGGGGGTGGGGGGCTCTGGCGGGAAGGTCCGTGGCACCGATCTGAGCGCTCTCTCCCCGCAGGGCTACTACGGCGGGGGCTACTACCCGGAGAACGAGCCGGGATTGGGGCCGCCCCCCGAGGGCAGCGCGGACGCCGCCCCCGCCTCCTTCATGGACGACGAAGCGGTGAGCCTCGCCTCTCCCGCCCCGAGGGTCCGCTTCCCCGCCCCGGACGCCCGGAGCCTGGCTGGGGGAGGGGGCCGGGCTGCCTTGGGCGCCCGGCGGCGGCAGAGACCCTTCCCCGACCCCCGTGTCCCTTTCCCGCCCCGCTCAGTTCAAGCGCCTGCAAGGGAAGCGCAACCGCGGGAGAGAGGAGATCAGCTTCGTGGAGATCCGGGGCGACGACCAGCTGAGCGGAGTCCAGCAGTGGCTCACCAAGTCCCTGACGGAGGAGCAGGGCATGAAGTCCTTCAGCAAGGTCCGTCGGGTGGGTGGGGGGCCCTGAGAAGCAGGGGTGGGGAGGGGTCTCCTCGGGCCCCTGACTTTCCCTTCATTTCCCTCCAGAAAAAGGGGGAGCAGCCCACGGGACAGCAGCGAAGGAAGCACCAGATCACCTATCTGATCCACCAGGTGAGGCCTTTGTTTGGGGGGGTTCAGCCGGCCCCCTTCCCCTGTGTCTGGCTGGGGGGGTTGCTGAAACACCCTCCCCTTCCCCAATCTCTCCCCGCAGGCGAAAGAGCGTGAGCTGGAGCTGAAGAACAGCTGGGCAGAGAACAAGCTCAGCAGGCGTCAGACCCAGGCCAAGTATGGGTTTTAGCCCCTTCCCGGCCCACCCGGAGCAGGATGGCCGACTACGCAGGATCCTGTTCCGCCAGGCAGCAAGGCCCGCTGGCCTGCCAAGGAAGCCACCACAGGAGGCCGTGCAGCCAGGCGCCTTGCCACAAGCCCCCCCACCCACCCAAAAGAGCAAGGGTCTGCGTCTGCTTGAGTTTGGGGGGGGGGCTCTCGGCCCCTGGATCTCCCTCCAGCAGTTTTTCTTCAAAGTCACCGCCAAGGCAGGAGGAGGGAGCCCTATCTGGACTGGGGAGGGCTGCCCACCCCCACCCCTGAGACTGGCTGGAGGGCAGGGGGCTGGACTGTGTGTCACCCCCTCCCCTTAGCATATCCTGGGTGTTCCTGAGCCTGCCTGGATCCTGTTGCTGCCCACACCAAGGTCTTGTTTTGATGAATTGGCAAACACTGTGCCACCCACCCACCCACTTTTCCTGGTTTCAGTTTGTCCTCAGAGGCCCATTGCTCCAATTTCAGAGATCGGAGGTTTCTGTCTCCCCCTTTCCTCAACCCCCCCCCCCCCGTGTGCCCTCTTGACCAGTCTGTGGCTGTTCAGAAGACCCCCACCCACCCACCTCTTCCGGATATTTTTCCATCCCTAGTTTGCTTTCCTTAAGACAGCCCTTGAAAGGGGAGCAGCTTCCCACTGAACTCATCAAATGCCCAGAGTCAACCGGAGGGGTGGGGTGGGGGGCAGGATGATGGTGTCTCCTGTGCCACTCCCCCCCTCCCCCGCCCTCTCAGCGAGCCTGGGCACCCCCAAGCCAACTCTATTAACGCCCCCCCTCCACCCCCTTCTGCTTTTGGTGGTCTCTCTTTGTCCACTCCCTGTTCGGATCGTAGCCGTTTCCAGTCCAGCAGACGGACCTCCTTTTATTTCGCTGCAGAGTATCTGTATTTAGGGTTTTTTTTTTCTAAAAAAAGAAGATCTTGGTTTATTTCCCTGGAGACTTTAGTACTTAGGAAAGCTCCCTGCCCCTATTTTGAATATTTGAAAATAAAACTCATTCAGTAAATTGATTTGTTTTTTCCCCCACACTTTTTGAATGTGGGGGGGGGGAGGTTGCAGGGGAATAAAAATTAAATTAAGAATGGGGGCCCCGGAGGCTGAGGTGGCAAGAGAGGGGGGGGAAGGGTGCAGTCCAAGGACACTTTCTGAGAAAGGGGGGGGGGCTGTTCTGTTGTGGGGAGGGTGGCTCTTGTGTTCGCCCCCTCCCCAGTAGGCCAGCCAGGGGGCTAAGGGAAAGGACAGGCCCCTTTGGCTACAGCGACCCATTGGGGGCTCCTCCCTGCCTCCCTCCTCTGTGGGCTGCATGTGCCCCCCCAGCACTCTTGCTCTTGGGGGGGGGGCAGGTCTCATCCTGCCGGGCCGGAGGACCACTTGTGGACAAAACAGGGCTTTAAGCCCATAAATGGCCCAATTCTCTCCTGCTTCCAGCTCTCCCACAGGCCTCTGGGTCCGAAGCCCTTCCCCAGCCAAGGAGAGAGAGGCTGAGCTGGGGAGGTCGTGATCAGCATTCCCCAGGGAGGGTCTCGCAGGCAGCTCTCCACCCCGCTCAGCGGTGGAAGAGGCTCAGGGACTCTGGTTGCAGAGCCGGGCTTGGAAAAGGGCCGGTGGCAAAGGCTTGGCGCTGGCTGGGCCGGTCTCGCGACCCCCGCAGCGCCGCAGCCTGTCGCCCCGCGGAGAACTGGCTTCCCGAAGCCCCTGGGGCGACCCCCGCCGCGCCGCTCCTCCTCCAGGAGGGTCTGGCAGGCAGCGCAAAGGGGCTGAGCCGGCCTGCGGGGTGGGTGGGGGGCGTGGGCGGCCGCTGTCCCGGCGCGGGGGCGGCTTCGAGCGCACTTCGGCGAGGAAGCGGCGGCGGGCGCTCCGGATCGCTCTCCTTCCAGTGCTTGAGCCGTAGGTACCCCCGGCGGGCGCTTTCTTCGAGGGCGCAGCGCACCCACGCTGCTGGCGAGGGGAGGTGGGTGCTGAAGGGGCGGGATGCGTTCAGGCGTGCTGGGCACCCGGGTGCGGGCTCTTGATTCTCGGGGCGGCGGAGGGGAAGAGGCAGGCCGAGTCAAAGGAGGAACCGAAGGCAGCTGTTGAGTTTAAAAAACAACCGTCGGAGGTCCCGGGAAACTGGGCCCGTGTCTTCTGCGCCAGGACACGGGAGGGAGGATGTAAAATCCACCTGTCCAGGTAGCGCATGGCAGGCCCGCCCCCTCCCCCCTCAATCGGGTGGGATCTCTGTCTTCCTCCCAGCCTCCTTCCAGGGTTGAGATATGACTCAAGCGGGGGAAAATGCTGCCAGATTTGTTTCCCTTCCCCGACGGGCGTTTTGTACCCTGAGCCGGTGGGCTGTGCTGGGAAAGGATCCCACCACAAAAACACCAGATGCTTCTATGCGGGAGTGGAGCAGGGGAGGCTGCTGAGCGCCCCCTTCCCCAAGCCTCAGCGCGGAGCCAGGCCTGAGCCGCGCCCGCTTTGCCCGTGAGCCAAAATCCCCCCTTCTTTACCAAATTCCTGGCCTGCATAAAAGGGTTGGAAGACGACCAAGAATCCTGGAATTGCAACACATTTGTCCATTGAAGCTCCCGCTCTTCCCTCGCCTTTCATGGGGCCTCCGTCCTCCTGGGCCGCAGCCTGGACGTCCAGTTATTCTCAGGCGGGGCAAAGGGGCAGATTTCAGGGGGACCAGGCAGCCCCCCCCCCGTCCCCTCTGGAAAGGAATGCAGCCTGGCCGGGGAGGGGGGTGGGGGCTCCCTCCGTCCTGGAGGGCGCCTGTCTTTGGAGACCGTTCCCCCTCCCCGCTCTGTCCCGCTGCGACGCTCCCGAGGTCATCGTCCCCAGGCGCCTCATCGGCTGGTAGCCCACACGAGACTCCTCCACTGCCTGGCTCTTTCTCAGGCCGTAAGGCTTCCCCCACCTTCTGCCGGGCCGTTCCCACACTCCATCAGCCTCCTCGCCCTCCCGGTCCCTGGCCCTCTGCCCCGCCTCGGCCAAGGGTTGCGGGCCTGACGCCAGGACCGGAGCTGTCGCGCTGCCCCGCTTGCCTGACGGCCCCGCCGACGTCCACGGGCGCTTGAGGTGAAGCTGGGACACCGGGGAGGGGCGGTCGGGGCCTGGGGGGCGCGCAGTCGGAGAGCAGTCCCCCCCCCTTCAGGATCACAAGCGCCCCCCGGGCAACTGGCACTTGTGGAGCGAACTGAGCCTCCCCTCCCAGCAACGCGTGGCTGACGGCGGCCCCTGGAGGCGAGGGGAGCGGGCCGCGAAGGGGAAGCCGCTGCCGAGGCTGCGGAGACGTTCAGGCACGCAGGAGGCGTTAGTGGTCGGCGCAGGGCGCGGCCGTCCCTCCTCCGGGCCGCCGTTCCTAACTGCGAACTGACCGGGAGACTCGGGAGGCTTCCGCGTGGCCGGGGCTGGACGAGCGTTCCCGCAGGCGGAGAGCTGGCTGGGGGCGAGGGAGCCCGGGCGAGGCGGCTGGGCATCGAGGCTCCGGGTCAGTGGGGGCCCCGCTCCTTCCAGGCCTCCGCCGATAGGCAGGTGGCGGGTTCCCTTCGGGGCGCCGGAGACCCCCGCCCGGATCCCTGGGAAGGCCGGCTGGATCGTTTGGACAGGTGCGCCGCGCAGCTCCCTTGCCCTCCCGCGGGCGGGCGAGGCTTCGCGCACCAGGAAGCAGAGCGAGCGATTGCCCGCCCTCGGCGGGAGGACCGGGGGAGCCGTCGCAGCCGCTGGCCGGAGGGTCCCTCTCGGAGGGGCTGGGCAGCCGCCCGCGAAGGGTGAGGGGTGCAGGGCGGTCGGCTCTGTGCCGGGAGCTGAGCAGGCGCCCCCTGGCTTGGAAGATCCTCCGCGCGAGCCAGAGTGGGGGTGGGGGGAGCCCTTCTCCTCCCCGGGGTTGGCGTCCCGCTGGGCGGAGCTAGGGCTGGGAGTGGGGTGCGGAAGACCCTCTTGGCTCCCAGGAGATCCTCCCCTCCTTTCAGGTGTCTTCCTCTTCCCGCTTCTGGATCAGGCCGGCAGCCTGACGTGACGCGGGATGCGTTAGACTGCAAACTCTCCGCCCATTTGGATACAGCGGAGGGGGCCGCGTTGCTCGCTAAGGGCGACCCTCTCCCTTCTTCTCCCTGCAGCTGATGGCGAGAGATGGAACCGAAGCCTGCCCGGGCCATCCGGGGGCTGCAGGGATCCAGGTGAGGGGGGAACCAGGGCCCCGACTCTCTCCCCGCCCCCCCCCCCGCACTGCTGCCTCTCTGCCTGCAGACTGGCCAAGGTGCCTGGGACAGGGTGGGAGAAATGGGAGCCCCACCCCCATCA